TTTCTCAACTACCTTGCCAAACTTTGACCACACCAAGCAAGAGTCTTGCTGACATGGCTTTAGTTTGATTAATTGTAAATAGGTCTAAAAAAGGAGACTAATCAAAGATATTTACCCATTGGTATAGACTTGCCATCGGCTATAGGATTTATGCATACGGGTTATTTTGAATCGAGGGCATCTGACCACTCAAATCAACATATTTCACAAAGGAAATATGGTACAAAATATGATTATGCTTTCATATATCTTATTCTTTAACCAACTTGATTCTTTTTTGTTTCTTAAACATCTTGATTTCCCAATTAATATTGTCAGGTTTCTTAACCATTTTAACCATACAAAGGAAATATGATAGTAAAATATGGTGACAATTGATGCCAAGTTTATAGTGATGAGAATCTATACAAATTTACTTATATGAGTTTATAAACTAGCTAGAAAAATAATAGAAAATACCCTATATGTGGTGGACATCCCATCCGGCTCCCTCCAACTGTTTAAGGAAACTTTTAAACATGTATTCCAATGCCAAGAGACTTTGCTCAAGCTGATGAAATGCATCACCTGATACACTCAAGTGCTTACCGAGCCAATATGTCTGTCATATGCATCTTAAGACTGATAGACCTGTGGCTTCAACCTGAAGTAAAGAATGTTATGATCCAATTACATGGAAGATATATTTTGCTCCTGAAAATTTTCAGAGCCAATTGAAAAATAAACCACAAGTACCTTGAATGATACAAAAACCTCAATGTCTCTTTGTTAGTTTTGGCTCATGAAAAGAATATATTTCTCCCTTGTGTATAGCTTCAAAAGGGCCTTGACCTGTTCCAAGACAATAATATTGGGATTAAGAACAAATTTATCAAAAAGAAAAACAAAGTTGGGGTTAAGAACAACCTTTTTGCCTGAGGTAGAAAACATATTCAAATTCTTCTTTGTTCCATCCTATCCCATCTTTAGTTCATTCTTTCTAGACTTATACTTGGGTCTATGGCTGTAGTTGGGTCAGACTCAGATTGGAACTAGCCACATAAATTGAAATTCAAATCCAATCAAAAAGAAGATTAAAATCTTGAGAAATTGCTTTACTGATTCAAGGTAACTAAATTTAACCTTGATGCAGACTGCAGAGCACATAGAATTAACTCTTAGAACAAAACAAGAAAAAGGTTTGTTGATTGGAGAGTTTTTGCTTTTTGTTCTACTTTTTGAAATTTATTTTCTAATCACAATGCTGTCCATTAATTTATAGGTTTCTTGTAAGACCTGTCCAAGACTGGGCCCCCCTAACTATATTTAAGAGCCTAAGCTTGGCAAACTAGAGCCCTACATTGAAGCTTGTATTTCTTGTTTGTAGTGGAGATCTAGCAAGGGAAGTTGCACAAGCTGCACAAGCCCTACATCTTAGTGGTGGCATTACATGATTGATACATTAGGCCCATATTTTTCTTCATTTTAAAAAAAAAAGAACAAATATAAATACATACAAAATAATACATAAAACAAGGTTTTGCATTCTACATATTTGTATTTGTACTCCTTTCAAACTAAGCCTAAAATGCACATTGTAATTTCGGGCTTTGAACTACTGAGATCTTTATATTTGAGGATATCAGCGGCCCTTTTTCCAATGCATCCAAATTCATGCAACATACATCAATGACATATATAGTAGCTTGGTTTTGCATGAATGGTTGATTGTCATAAAATAACAGGAGCTCTCTCTTTATGATGGATTTCTAATATTCTTTTAATCATAATAGGTGATACTTTAACGACGATTAAAGAAAGTGGGCATTACGAGATGACATAGCTTTATTGGTTCGAGCATGGCAAGAGAAAGATTATAGCAGAAAGCATGGACATCTTTATGGAATTTATCCCCTCATATGTTAGAGTTAATGAAGGAAGTGAAATGGACCCACCTTTGAGGATGGAATTAACATGCACATTATGGTGATTCGGAAAGTTGAAAGGATTCTTTTCTTATAGTTGCCCATATTAGATTTCAAAGGGCTGATAATTGCCAATTTTTGTCTAGATTGAAACTCTATTATCTTTGATTATGTTTTCTATGTATGATGTACAAATTATTGGAACATCACAAAAATATATGATCATACATATCACAATTTTGTAAATGGGCTTTCCTTCATGTTTACTGATACAATCAATATCCTTATAAGGAGAGAGAACTTTGAAGCCAAAGAATAATCATTATTTGTATTTGTATAATCCAAATATATGTTTATGATTTGTTTCTACTTTCTAATAAATGGTTTTCTTTAGGTATCAAATTAAAGATTTAAATTACCCAAACTCTAGCTTCTTTTTGAAGAATGTGGTTCCTCTCATAGATAGATCTGAATGAAAACATCAAGATTTACTTACCTTTAGCGGTGGTCACAACTGCTGGTAAAGATGTCCTTGAACTTATAGCGGCAGTCAGTTCAACTTTTAGCAGCAGTTTTTTGTTTATACCGGCAGCCGAGAAAACTGCCGCTAGAGCTTCTACCAACACACTTTTTAGCGGCAGTTTGCTGACTGCCGGTAAAGATTCTAAACTGCCACTAAAAGTCATTATTCCTGTAATGTCACCATTAATTCTCTCTTCCATAACGTTTCCTCTTCATTATTCCATTAAATTGCCAAAAACTCATGAACTTATATATTCATTTCAATTTAACTATAATTTTATATACATTAGATATATTTATATTAAATTATAATTATCAATAAAAATAATTATATTGAAATGGAGATACTCGATGATATATTATTAGGCTAAATAATCTACTTCAATTTAAAAGATAATTAATTTATAAGTTAATTAATGTAGTAATTCAAAATAAATATTATTTAATTCACTCAACAAATAAAACCAATGTTTTAAAAATCAACTTGAAAGTTGAATAGTCTTTGCCTCTAGGTCACGAGCATGGTTCAAAGTATCGATACGCCTCTGCGTATCGGTAGAGACATATTGGTACTTAGAAACACATGGAATCAATTTTTTTTTTAGTTTTTTTTTCAAAATTTGGTTTTTGGGGAGTTAAAAAAGGGTTTTTTTAAATAAAAAAGGGTGGGGTCTTGAACCCAAAAGATACAATACAATATGCTCGAAACGGGGCATAACATATCGATTTTTTGAACCTTGGTCATAGGTCAACGGTTCAACAGTATAGGTTGAAAAAATCAAACCATGGCACATCATTTATCTAGAAATTGAAGTTTGAGACCACAAAATAAGTTTTTTTTTGTATAATGGGGTTTTAAAAATCGTGAAAACATTATCCAAAATAAAAAAAAGGTCACCTCAATCAGATAATTGAGCACAATGTAATAAGATAAAATAAAGACTAATATCTATTTAAAATTAATATAAACATAATACAATATGATCTAACAATCCAATACCCAAAAGTGCGACAATCAAGTATCCAAGCTTTCAAAATGTGACAATCCAGTACCTGACATTAACTCACCATCAATTAAAATGCAAAAAAAACATAATTACCCTTCATGGTTTCAACATTTGTATGAAACCAGTTCATACACCAGAGTTGGAAGCACTATTCATCCACTCTGTGCCCTAAAGTTTTGAAGAAACAAGTTCTCCTTGCCAGCAATGGTAAGTAGATTACGTCGCTGGAAAGGTTGAAATCAATGAGTCACATGCGAGAGAGCATTGTATGAAGATCTCCATTTATTTTGGAAGAAACCACTAGAACAAATTGCACCTGTTGTTGCTAGTACAAGTGAATTTAATTTAACCATTGCCCGAGAAGATGACCTCTTGTTATCGGTACTCAAGGAGACAACCGGGGTATATTTTTTTTGGCTATTTTTTCTATCATTTTCTATGCTTTTTTACTGTCATTATAATACATCGACTTCTGGTTGATTTTGATGCATGATTTATAGGGTTGTTTATTCCCTTATATGGTTTGATATGACCGAGATGGATGAATGGTTGATTTTGATGCAAGACTTTTTAGCGGAATACAACTTCTGGTTGACTTTGACTTTACAAACTTTGCTCGCATGTTCTTCTTTATCTATTAGACATTTGTTATGATCTTAGTGCTATCTTAAGTCTCTACACTAAGACTGATCTCTTTCTTCCTTTGTTTTTTTTTATTCTATAGGTTCTACTTCTATCTAAGCTTGAAGAAGAAACACCAAGTACAACTAATTGCAAAGAAACTTAAGATGTCTGCCCTTTTACAAAAACAGAAGAAATTCCAAGGACAACTAATTACAGAGCATGATGAACTCTCATTTCTGATCTCAATGCTATGTGTTCTCATTGGATGGAGTAATGTCATTACAAAAAAAAATGCATATTTGTGACGTTAGACAAACGCCACCAAAAATGGCACAAATGTCACGAATTGCTCCCTCATCACAAAATGTAGTGTTGGCAAAAGTTTTTGTGACATTTAGTTTAGTTTTTGTGACGTTTTGCAAATGTCACTAAACGATTTCAAGAGTCACCCATGTACAGTTTTGGTGACATTTATTTATTATTTTGTGATGTTTAAGAAACGTCATAGAAAATCACTTTTAATGACATTTGGCAGGCATCACTAAAAGATTCCAAGAGTCACCCATGTGCAATTTTGGTGACATTTATTTGTATTTTCGTGACATTTTCCAAACATTACAAAAAATATTTATTTTAGTCAAAACCTGTTTTGGTGGCATTTCCATATTTTTTGAAACGTCACAAAAACCTGTTTAAACGTCACCAAAAACCTTGGTGCCTAAAACCAACTCCACCTGAATGTTTGTCATACCTAGTATAGAGCTTATGGTGGCCTGTTTTTAAATCAATTATATACATTCATTTTCAACAAAAATCTTATATCCACCTATATGTTTGTCATATCCATTCAACAAAAATCTTATATCCATTCAAAATAAAAGATCATTAATATCATTAAAAATTGAAATCTAGTATTAAATAAAAGGTAATATATATTTACAATTGTTCACATATTAGTTCAAATGAAATTAAAAGATTACAAAAAAAGGAAAATAGAAAACTCATCAAAAGTGCCTTTCCCTTGCCAAAAATATTACAAAAATAAAATAAAACACTCATCAAAAGAGTGCATTTCCCTTTCCCTTCCCCTTCTCCCCCTTTATTGTAGACACTTGAGATGGCTTTTTTCTAGGCTCTTGCATCTATTACAAAACACAAAAGAATACAAAATTATTTCCACACTAAAAGATGTGAGAAAATGAAAAAATAAATCAAACTTGTGATAGTTTACCGGATTTGGTGATAGTACCTCTGGAGTGGGATGAGAATTATCTCCACTATGAATTGGAGGGGTTGCTAATTCATGTATCTGCACATAAAAGACAAAGTTAAGAAAATGCTTATTATTTTCATGCTAAAAGATGTAAGTAAATGAGAAATAAAACCCAACTTATAATAACTTACTAGGTTTGGCGGTGTTACTTCATGAGTGGGGTGGAAATTTCCACCCTGAGCTGGAATATTTGCCAACCCATGGCTCTGCATCTAGAAGCATTAAAAAATATGAGTAAAGTGTTTCTCATAAACTAAAAAAAAGAATAAGAAAGTTGAAACTATCATAAAGTTATTTGGTGACTAGCGCTAGAAATATTGATCTTTAGCGGCAATCAATTAAAACTACCACTAAAGACCAAGCGACTACCACTACATAAGTGATGTTGGCTGGGTAGGTTTTCCACCCTCTCTCTCTCTCTCTCTCTCTCTCTCTCTCTATTTTTAATCAATATGAGCCTACGGTGATGACTATTGCTAAATGGAAACTTAACTTACTCTATAAGGCCAATGGAAGAAAAGGCAAGATCAAGACTTAGGAAATTTTGTGGTTCCAAATAAACTTACTCTTGTCATTCCATCAATGCAAACCTTCCAACCACCCAAGCACCTGAGGTATTTCATAACTGCATGTTCTAAAGTTGAAAATAGTCCCTAGGCCTTCTTGTTAGAACTGCATGTCATTCCATCTAATGACCTTATTCAAGTTTAAAGGGGGTTAGGGAATGATAGGTTAAGGCCCTTGTTAGAATAATCATGTCAAAGCAAACTCTAGGAAACTTCTAATTCACAAAGTGTAATTCACAAAGCATAAAGACCGATTACCTGTTTGAGTTCTAAACAATACACTACTCTTGTTTTTGGTTTTGATTCATAATCCATACAGGTTGTCTTTATTATTTGTGCATGTCCTTTTATGGGTAGATTAAAGAACATTTAACATATAACATAAAAAAAAAAAAAAATTAAAAAGCAGCTACTGCATGGCAGATAGCTTATAGAACATATAACAAAATTAGAGAAAAAAAAATAATGATACAACCGATAATCTTTGAAGTTGAACAACGAACTTATGGTTCAGGTTATCCATTATTTATTTGCAGGTCTAGGTGCTAATTTTTTATAGTTTTTATTTTGATTTTCCTAGAACATAAACCTAGTTCAATATTCCCATTCAATATGCACACTGCATCTTGAATTACTTCATATTCTTAAAGATACACTAACAAGTTTATAAGGAATTCCATATGTAAATAATCTACAAGTACACCAACTGCTAAATTAACTGTGTTCAGGCCTGTAACATTGAGATTCTCTTTATGGACTATCTGCCATACATTTCTCAAACATAATAGAGATGGAGAAGAAAATCACATTTTTCACTTTTCCCCCTTAAAATGAACTGCACAAGGACTGAGTAGCCTTCAAAATTACTTGGAAGCTATAGACCACATCTCATGTTTGCCATTCGAGAAAGGCTAGATGCATCTCCCCAATACAAACTTGAGATGTTAACTTACAAGATATATCACCAAGTTGGAGTCTTGGGGGTTTTGTTTTATATGTTGGGAGGACACGTGAGTGGGGACCCTATAAACTAAGAGCTGCTAACCAAGAATGTAACTTGCCCACAATCTTTTGGACTACTAAATCTGATGAGTTGGCTGCTTTTAGTTTTAAAAGTCCTTTCATTGCTCTCTTGCCACAGAAGCCATAACACAACTACCAGAATTATTCCCCAAGAAATTTTTCCTCTCTTGCTTATACCCTAAAGACTCAACACCCCCTCCCCCCCACCCCCCAGGAATTCAAAACCAAATAGCAACATTTAACAACAAAAAGGCCAAGTATCCTGATCCAGACTGAGTGAGAAAATTTGCAATGTAATAGCAGATAGTCAACTGTCTGTGGGAAAGATTCACACTAGCAATCCATCCAAAACCTCTCTTCCTCTCTGTTATCTCTTGTTCTAATAATCCATTTAAAGCCTCTACAGGCACCAATCAAGTTTCAAGAATAGAAGCTTCAATGCTCTATACTAATTGTGTGGTTTGGTAATTAGTGCTCTGTACTAACAAAAATACATAGTTGCTAATAAAAAAAGAGCTAATTGTGTGGTTCGGCATCTTAGGTTCAACTGAATGTAACATCTTAGGTTGAACTGAATGTGAAGGGGGGATTGGAATAGGGATTCCATATTGTTGAGAGAATTGTTGCAACAAGGCATGCATCTGTGACCTCTTTGCATCTATAGCCTCCATGTTGGCCTGCATCACACTCACTTCTGACTCAAGTTGTATGACTCAGATCTGCTTGTTGATTGGATGTAATTGTGGAGGTAGTGGACCCTTTAGACTCGGGGTTTCCAAAAGCATGCTTAGGATTTACCCCGAATCCCAAGCAATGAAGTCATGATAGATGCTCCTTTCCTAAGACCTCGCTAACCGCATCATGAGCACCAATGGGCTCAACTAGTATACCAAGTTGTGCTTGTTCAATCACAAAGTTCTCCATCTTTGCCTACAATAGTTTTAAAGAATATATATTAAATTATCTAACATAAAACTACATTGAAATAATCAAATGAATAAACAAACTTCCAAAAAAATAATTACAGCTAATTCTCTGGCCTGAGGATCAAAAAATTCCCCCTAGGAATTTGAATGAGCCCTCCTAAAACACGTTCCTCTCGCCTTGGGRGGGGGGGGGGGGGGCTATTGTCTTGTCGTTTCTCTTCTGCCTAAAAAAAAATAAGTCAATGTATAAATAAATGAAAGAACAAGAAAAACATGAAAAGTGTTAGTAATCTCACCATTTGATGGAGGTGTGCTACACATGATTTCTGGCCCAAATGGTGGTTGAGCCTATGTTGTACTCTGATATTGGTCATCATCTCAAACTTAGCCTACAACAATAACGATATAGATTAGTTTAAAAATAAATTTATCTGAATCCTAATGGTGATTGAGATGAATCCTAAGTTCCTGAATTGTTAATGGCTATATTTGGCTATGGTGATTGAGCTGAATCCTAATTTCTTTCTTATATATGAACTTGAATATGCGAAAGCCCTTAAGTTGTTACAAAAGTGGCAATTAGAGTTTTTGTCTTTTGACTATGGGGTAAATCTTTGCAATCAGAAATGTTGTGCTTGTTTCTTGACTTTTCCTACCTTTTCCTTCAAACCAAACATAGCCTAAAGGAGAAATGCTAAAAATTAGAGTTATAGTTTCAGCAACTTATGATAATATATATTATAAGTAAACTTGTTTGTGTCCAAAGTCATTAGTTCTCCAACTTGGTTTTTGACTTAGAAGTACGTCACTCGTTCACTCACCATTAGCCATTTTGAGCTGTGAGACTAATTTTATATGTACACCATAGGACACAATTGACTAACCCCAAGGCATTCAAGAGTTGTAGAAAAACAGCTACTATTTATCTATTTGGTGAATAGGGCCAAGAGTCCATTACAATCCATGTGCAAAAATCAACATGTGTTTCTTTTTTTTTTTTTTGTTTCTTATCAACAGTATAGGATTGGTAACCACAAAACCGTATTATGCTCAAGAAAAAGGTTAGGTGGAAGCCACCAACAGAATTCTTAATAAAGTAAGCATGGCACAACCAGCGGTATTAATGATAGGCGAACATAAGTCTACATATGATTAATGTCAGCCTGGTTCTTTGAAACCTCCTCGGAGAGAGTACACAACTCAACCTTACTGTTCTTCAAAATGATGGTATATTCTTGGTACGTTCCAGGAACTCATTGGCAGACTGGACAATAGTATTTGCTTTCTCAATGTTCTTACCCATTTGGCCAATTTCAGACAACCTTTGTAGAGCAACCACCTGGTTTGGCAACAAACTTTTGTTGTTTTTTAATTGCTCTAAATTTTGATTAGTTCCTGCATCTGACTAGGGTGTGTCACAGCAGTAATGTCCATAGCAAGGAAATGACACAGTGAAGCCTTGGCCCGATCAAATTCAATATTCTTAGCTATAGAAACAGAAGATGGTGAAGTATCCAAACCGGTTGGTGCAAATTCAGATGCAATAAGAGAATCAATAGTATCGAAAAGATCCAACATTGCAGCCATGTCAATAGTAGGCATAACCAATAGAACAGAATCCCCTGGAGAGGAATACTTAGGAGAAGCTTGGAGAGTGCTCTGTGCACAGGAGCTGGGGGAACCATAACTAATTGATCAACCATTGTAGAAGGTCTAGAGAGTGAATCCTGAGGATCTGGAGCATTATTCTCAAACCAGTTAGAATCAGCAGTGCTATGGGATGGTGGAGTGAACATGTGTTTAGGACAATGCATTGAAGGGGGTGACTCATCCAACTCAGAATCAATGATATCCACTGTCGCACCAGGGGATTTAGTCTTCATGAAAGTAGCAGAACGAGTGACTGGCCTATGCCAGTTTTCTGTAGGTTTAGGTTTTAAAGTTGGCTTTTTGGTCCACTTACGATGAAGGGGGTGATTCAACCAAGAAATGATCTAATCCTAAGGTTCAATGCCAACTAATCCAAAATAAATGCATGGTAGGTTTAAGGAATAGCACAGAAACGCCATTAAAGGGATTAATAATCCAATGGATTCAACAAAATAGCACAGAAACGCCATTAAATGCATGGTAGGTTTAAGGAATAGCACAGAACACATACCTACATTTTGACTCAACCGATATGATTTTAGGTTTTTTTTTACTTGAATATGCAACAGCACCTCCTCTCTTTGTATTCTCCCTTCTCTTTGTTCTCTCTGTATTTTTATCTCTGATTTCTCCTTTTCCTCTAGGGTTTTTTTTGGACTTAGAATGTAGCAGCACCTCCTCTATCTCAGTAGCGACAGCTCATCCCTCTCTCTCTCTCTCTCTCTTTATACTCAGCGGTACCTCCTCTCTCTCTCTCTCTCTATCTCTCTCTCTCTTTATACTCAGCGGTACCTCCTCTCTCTCTCTCTCTATCAGCAGCGGCACCTCCTCTCTCTATATACTTAGCGGCCAGCACCTCCTCTCTATACTCAGCGGCCGGTACCTCTCTATATTCTCTTCTCTTCTCTTTCTTTTCTTTCCTTATTCTCCTCTCCTTCGTTCTCTCGCCAGCCGCACGTCCTCTGTAAGCCTCACGCTCTAAACTTCCCTTTCTTTTCCTTCTTCGCGGCCGCGGGTGAATGTTTTTTAATTAATTTTTTGAAATAAATTAGGATGCGATCTTAGGTGTGGGCCGGCGCAGGGTCGGACATAGAGTGAGGTTCAAGCTGTGGGCCGGGACAGGGTCGAGCATCCAAGCTTATTCGTATTGTAAAGTAATAAATTAATTATTTTTGTCTCAAACTAATAGGATTGTAGGATTTATTTTTAAGTATGGTCTCAGGTAGGCTTGATGTCTCAAAATTCGAGGCCCAATCTAACATTTGATACGATTATTTCGGGTTCAGATGATGTATTTAAGCATTTACATTGAATTGGATTCAGATTTGTCCACATTTGGTTCGATTAAAATCTGAATTTAATTATATTATAATATTTATTAATTTTAATATATAAACTTTATATAAATATATTTAGAAGTGTAAAAAAACATTCCATATATTGTATAATATATGGATTTATATATATAATCAATTTATTACATTATTTTTATATTAATTTATTATATACAAATGTTGAAAATAAAAAAATATATATATTTTTTTAATATTTTAGAAAATTTAAAGCAGAATCAGGTTAAATTCGAATAAGATCCAAGTCAATTAGGATTTGAATTTGAATTCGAGTCTTTAAATCCAATCAGATTTTGGATTGAATTCGAATGTAGTCTATTAATAATTGGATCAGATGCAAAAGATCTAAGCCCGTTTTGATTACAACTCTATACTCAGGCAAGGTAGGGCATCGAACCTTACCCTTATTAATTAAATATTTTTTTAGACTTGAAATAATGGCAACATAGGATCGAGTTCCAAGTGTGAGCCTAGGTAGCATTTGACATCCGGATTTACCCATGTTAGAAACTTTCGTGTATTTGACCCGTCCTAACCCTAATATATAGGTAGGAATGGCAATGGGGCAGGGTAGGGTGGGTCAGGGCTGGGTTTTGATTATTATATCCTCGACCCCAAACTCAAATGCCCACCCCGTGCCTGCCCATAACCTTAGCGAGGATAGAAATCCTAACCCTATCCTTGTGCTCGTAGGGGATGAGCCAAAACCTAAAGTGGATTTCGGGAGGGGGGAGAGAACAAATATGGATTGGCCATTTAGAGGGACTAACCATTAGTGTAGGAAATGGGGGAGGGGGAAAATAGGCTTTCAAAAGTATGGATTTCTAGGGCATAGGAGGGGCATGGGTGATAACTCTATATTTTCGGCCTTAGAATAGTCAAAATAGGTGCTTTTCCAAGTTAAATTTAATGTTGTGACCTTTGAGGGTCTCTGTGCAAATTCTATGCAAAATTGGGAAGGTTTCATGGCTAAATTGCAGTTTTTGGGAAGCTGGTGTGAAGCCCAACCAAGAGAGGGGGTGTTTTGTGAAAATTTGAAAACAAGAGGGCGCCATCTATCTACTAAACCCAGAATGGCGCCCCTCCTACTGTATTAGCATGCTCCCTTCTCCTCAACAAACCTTAAGGGCACCTTTTAATCCATTATTTTCATCCTTAGCAAACCCTAGCCGCCCCTTGCTATTTAATCTCCACCCACCACCTCTTCTAATCTCCACCATTCATTCTAGGGCACTCTCTTTGTAGCTTTTAAACCTTAGGGCGCCACCTAACTTCTAATCCTCACCATTCAGCCCTTAACCACTAGATCTCAACCCTACACAATATTTGGTGCCCTCTCTTTCTCTTATCAGCCTTAGGATCAACCTAGAATAACCCTTCATTACAAACCCTAGGGCGCCCTTATTTTTGCTAAAACCCAACTACCGCCCCTCTCTTTCTCTCTAATCCTAGTATTATCCACCCTTCTCTATAAAAAGGACCCAAGGGTTCCTAAAAAAGGGTTGGATTGTGCTCCCAGGTAAGACGAAAAGATGATCTTGAGAAGTTCAAGGGTAGAGGAAGAGGAGGATGCCCAAGCAAGAGGAGGAGTTCCTACTTGCAGTTCGCCAAAGCCACTACTCCCACCTTTGGATTCGAATCCCAACCATTAGCTTTAGTTTTAATTTCTGTTCTTTTAATTCCAGTTTCGTTATTTCCTTTCTACAATTTATTTTCATTCTGTTTGATCTTCATTTTCTTTTCTACAGATCTGAAATTCGGTCAGGTAAGACGGAAGGCCTAGCTCGAGAAGTTCGAGGGTCGAAGGAGAGATCCGAAGACTACTACCTCTGATCAGATTACAGATTTTTTATTTTGTTTCCTTCATTTATTTATTTTTCTACACTTTTAATTTCTGCAATGTTCGAATTCTATCTTTTTTTTTTCAGTTTAATTAATTAATTTTTATATTTCTGCGCTTCCCTCCTGTGTCTCTTGTCCGAATTTGAGTATGTATTAATTTTTCCCTCGCTTCCCTGTGGATAAGACTTGTTCTCATCATTTTACTGTGTTAGTAGTTGCTTGAGAATCAGAAAAAAAATTTATAAATATTAAACTAGTGTTCCGAAGTGGTTGACAATACGCTTCCAAATACACCAAGTTTTTGGCGCCATTGCTGGGGAAGCAACAGAGAAAAATTTTTATTTGCTTTATCCAGATCTGTTTCATTATTTTTTTTATTTTCGTTTTATTACTTGATTTGTTGTTCATTTTAATTCTTACTTCTCTTTGATTTTGCAGGACGAAATAGCGAAAGGTGGGTTACTGGAGCATTGTGGGACTACGGGAGAGAAGAGAAGATAAGATTAATTGGATTGTGTTTCAAGTGTAGTTGTCCCATTTTATTTTTGATTTTTTTTATTTTTATTTTTGAACTCTTTTTTTGGTAGAACAATGATTTTTTGAATTTTTAATTAATTTTTTTCTAGATCTGATTTATTTTTTTKAGTATTATTTTTCTTTCGTTTTGTTTCTAGATCTATTTTTCTTTCTTTATTTTAATTTCTTGTTCAAATTTCTATCTTATTAGGTTTGTGTTTTTCTTTTATTTTAGATAAAAAACAGAAAAAAAATTGTTTATTTTATTTATTGCCGCATAATTTTCTTTTGTTTATTTTATTTTCGGTTTAATTTTTAGAATAGAAATTTTCTTGTTAGAATTTATTTTGGTAGTGGTTAATTTCTTTTTTATAGCATAATTATTTCTTTTATTTTCTGTTTGTTATAATTAGTTGTTGCCTTATTTAATTTCCTTTTTTTAGCTATTTAATTGAATAATTAATTGTTAACTAGGAAATTGCCCAAATTTTAGAATTTAAATTTAAATTTAAAATTTTTCAATTTCAAAAAAAACTTGAAAAAATAATAACAAATAAAAAAATAAAAAATAAATCAAAAGAAATTGTTGAAATCATCTTGTTAGTTGTGAATGTGTTAGGTTTTCTTCTTTTTACTATTTTAATTGCTCCTTTTGCTTAATTAGTTTGTTTTATTCTTTTATGTTATATTGGTGAATTGCATTTTAGAAATAATTGTTCATGCATTGTAACTAGTTGCATTCATTTTGTTTGACTGTTTTTATTTCGTTAATCCATTTAAGGGCACCCAACTTAAATAAGATAAGGTGGGGATTTCATCACCCTTGGCCCAAAAATCACCACCCTTCACGTGTGGTTCACCCTAAACCCTAATTTAAAATTTGGATAGCAAGATCCTTTAGGGAAGCCTCACACTTGGTTCAAAGGTGTGCTGAATTTTAGGGAAACTTGTGATTACTTTCTATAACCGGGCGGTTGGTGTGTAAGGAAAGAGGTTAAATGGCTACGCCTAAGCGGGTTTTCTAGTTACTTAATTAGGTCATTGCGAGAGCAAGGGGAGCCTTCCACATCCCCACCTCTTACCTTGTTAACCAAAGGAAGTGGTGTAATTCCAAGTGAACCTAAAAGGATTCACATTGGTTGAACTACTAGTTTAGGAAACTCTAGGTCAGCCCTAGGTCGTATGGTTGATTTGCTTGCATTTTTTAAAAAATTTTAAAAATTCAAATTTGAATTTAAATTTCAAGAATTTAAATTTTAAAATCTAAATTTGAATTTAAATTTCATATTTCAAAAAAATGAGAAAATAAAAAATTAAAAACAAAATTAAAAAATTTAATGGTCAAAGTTTGTGGAATGACAAACTACATCCAACCTAAGCCACAGATAGATTGGAACCATGCGTCTCGACAACTGGACAAGATCAATGGGATGGCCCAAAGACTTGACCAAGTCCTTGCATGCCCTCAACAATTTAGCCCATTACCAACCTTGTCATCCTACCCAACATGTTCAATCTGTGCAAGCCCAGCCCATTATGTTAGTCAGTGCCATGCGGCAGGCTCATGTCAAACGATCATTTCAGAGCAAGTACATGCAGCTAACGGATTTCTCCAACCCAATGTTAACCCATCCTTTAGTCCATATAACCCTAGGTGGGAAAATCAGCCCAATTTCGCATATTGAGCCCAAGCCAAAGAAACCACTTTGCCAGATGTGCACTCTCATTTGTTTGAAGCCCAAACTCACTGTGAGTATAATGATTACCCTAGGACTCAATTGGCTCAACCTTGTCAAACCTCCCCTCGGCCGTATCAAACCGATTCACTTGATGATAGGTTTTTGCAGCTCCAATAGCTAATCTTAGATCAACAGTAGTCCATCGATAGATTAGAGAGCCAAGTAATTCAGCTCATGGAAGCTAACCTATAGTGGGAAAATGATTCAATACTTAGAAATCCAGTTGTAGACCCCGGAAACGAATCCCTAGGTCTTCCCCAATACCAAGATCTTATAACCTCTAATGTCCCATACTTAGAAAATGATGAAGAAATCTCAACCCTTCAAAGGGAGGAAATGTGTGAAGATCTGTATGAGTTTGGAAGTCCTTCTACCTACCCAGAACAAGATTGTTGTATAATAAATGTAAACAGAAACCCCAAATAAACCGAACCGATCATAGCGGATGACCCGACGAAGGAAGCTAATGTTTTAACAAAGTCTCCATACCCATTACGGTCTTCACCTACTATTGAACCTCTTCCAGAGATAAAGAGTGAACCACCCGTGCCTTC